CCCTGTCCCTCCGTCCATCCATCTCCTGAGCCCTGTCCCTCCGTCCACCCATTCCCTGAGCCCCGTCCCTCCATCCACAGGGTGCTCCAGAGTGGGCTGGAGGTGGAGCGCTTGCGCCTCAGGAACTTTTACCACTACTACCACTCCAAGCGCGGCATGTGGAACGCCCGCAGCAAGAAGCCCTCCAAGGAATAGCACCCGAGCCTGGCCCGTAGCCAAAAAACCCTGATGCCCCCCTGTCCCCGACTGCCACACCCCGGCACCGGCATGGAGGGCACCCCAGCACCCACTGCAGTTATCCTGGGGAAGGGGGAGCGGGGAGGGCCGAGGTGGGCGGTGTTTGTTTTCTTAAGGGTCTAATTTCTTAGTCAGCAACGAATTTATTAACTCCTTTGTGCCGGGACGGCGGGTCTTGGGGGGCTGGGCCAGGTCCCAACGAGCTGTGCTGGGTCCTGGGAGGCCGTGCCAGGCTGGGGATGATGGAAGTGGAATAGTGTCACCCAGGATCCCCACTGGAGCTCACTTTGCAGCCCCTTTCCTGTTGTTGTCCCTCCCAAAATACCAAGTACCTCGTCCCTATGTCAGGCTGGGGAGCTGAGCTTTGGGGGGGCTGCTGGTACCCACTGGTGTGAGGGGGCCTCTGAACCCACTGGGGCTGCCCTAATGCTCCTGCTCCCCTTCCAGGACCTGTGGAACCCCTGTGGAGGGAAGAAGGGTCTGGCTGTGCCCTGCATTTGGGGACACGATGTGGGAGGCTGGGCTGGGGTGGGGATAGGGCAGAGCCTGCAGCAGGTATGGGCAGATGACGTTTCCAAGCTAATTTCTGTGAAATTATAAGGTAGGAAGCTGTTTTCAGGAAGTTTTGTCTGTTTCGGTTTGGTTTTTTTTATTCTTAAAAAAATAAAATCAATGTCTTGGCTGGGATTTCCCTCTGCTCCATCATCCCCACACCTGGGCAGGGTTGCCGGTTGGCCTCTGTCCCTTGGTCCCTAAGGGTCCCCTCCCCGTGGTGAGAGCAGGCAGCAGCCTTCTGTGCTGGGAGGAGGAGGAGGAGGAGAAGGAGGAGGCAGCACCCTGTTTAATGCCCAGCCACATGCCCAGGCTTGCTGAGCCTCCGCCCCACACCTGGGCTCCACCCGGGCAGCCTCCAGCACCCCACAGGCTCCATGGGGGGCTGCCCTGGGCAGGGCAGCCAGGGGGGAGCCACGAGTGGCTCCGTGTGCTCCTGCCTGCCCTGGCACACTTGTCCATGCCCACCGGTGCCCCAGCTCTGTGCTGGTGCTTCCCCGTGGCCGTGCCTGGCTGTGGTGGCACCTCGAGGATTCTGTCGTGTCGCGCCTACCACGGGCTCCAAGTCACCCTGTCCCCCCAGATCCCCTGGGCTGCTCCCCTGGGAGAGCTGAAACAGCCTCGGAGTTTCCCCCCCGAGTGTTTCATTCCCCCACATCCCCCGGGCTCGCTCGGATCATCCCCAGGGTCTGGGGTGAGGGTGGACATGGGGGGCTCAGCCACCCACGTGCCATCAGCAAACAGCTGCGGTCTGTGGGCTTTTTATCCCGGATTCGGTCCCTGTGGCCCCAGGATCTGCCAGGAGGGGACTGTCCCGGCAGGCAGCGGTTGTTTCTCCCCTCTCCTTGCCCTGCTCCTGGTTTTTTCCAGCACTTTGGAAGCGCTTTGTTGTGGGTGAGGGCTGTGCCTGCTGCGCCGGGAGCTGGTCTGTGGCTGGGCGAGAGCGGGTGGCCCCATGGCCCCCCAGGCCACCAGTTGCATCCCAAAACCTGCCTGGCCTTAGGCACAGCTTTTCCAGTAGCTTCCCAGCCAGGAGAGCTCCAAAAGCCACCAGCATTGGAATGGGCACTGGGCCCAGCCAAACTCAGAGCTGCCGCTGGTGCTGGGAGGGACTGGTGGCACCAGTGCCATCCCCACTGATGCTGGGGACAGTTTGGGGCCGGCTGATGGTGTCCGCTTGGGGCAGGGCCAGCAGCACAGCGCCGGAGGGTTCGTTTCTCAGGTGGTGGCTGAGCTGTGGCTATGGGATGACACAGGGATCGTGGGGATTGCAGGAGCCACAGGGAGCCTCTCCTGGGCTGGGTGTTGAAGCCCCAGGTGACAGCGGGGTGCAGGCAGGTCCCCACTCCTGGAGGATCAGCCCTGGCTCTCCCTGTCCTGCGGGGACACTGCAAAAGCATCAGGGTTTGTCCAGGGTGCAGAGGCAAACGCCAGCCTGGAGTGGCCTCACTGAGGGGCTGCCCCCCCACCAAAGGGGTTGTGGAGGGTGGAGGGAGCACAGGAGCCTCCCAACAGCCCCTGGCTGAGAACAGGCCACACGTGACAGCAGTGGCCGTGTGGAGGGTCCTGGCAGCCTCCAGTTCTGGGCCAGGCATTGCTGGGGGTCCCCTCTCGGCAGCCCCCGGTGAGTGTGGGGTGTGGTGGGGGGACCTGCGCCACGGTGCTGGGGTAAATTGTGGCCCCTAAACTGGTTTGGCCCGTTTCAAATGCTCCCTCTCAGCTTATCTGGCTTCAAAGGGCTCCTGCTCCATCCCACGCACACAAACACGCTCCCTGCGAACCTGGGGGAGCCCCCTGCATCCCAAAAAATCCGTGTGCCCCCCAAGCTCTACCTCCCCTCCATCTTCTCCCTCCGGCACCCCCGATCCCTCCCTCTTGCACCAAGGGGTGGCCCACGCTGGGGATTCACGGGGATGAGGCGAGAAGGACACGTTGGATCGCGGCCATGGTGGCGGTGGGGATCCACGGGGGCTCTTTACAGCACCGTGAACGCGGCTGAGACGCGGCTGCACTGGCGGGGCCAGGACCCCCAGACCCTCCACCGGCACTCCCGCTGTGCCGGTGGTTCTGAGGAGCCACGGCGAGCCCCGAAAGCCCAGCCTCGGTGGGGAGGCGAGCAGGTTCCATGCAAAAACCTCGCCGAGGAGACTGGTTGGGCGAGGTGCGGGGCGGGCCCCGCGCGCCCCACGCCTGCCGCAGACGCCGGCGCCCACCCGCACCCCTCTGCAGCACCCAGGGGTGCACCTGCCTGCCGGGAGGATGCTGCAGGGCAACGGCCCCTCGGGGCCGCCCAGCCAGGTACGTGCCAGTCGGTCGCGTGGCCATCGCAGCGGCCGTCCCCACCGCGGGTCCCCGCGGAGAGCCGGTGCCACCCACCCTGCCACCCGTCCCCACCCACCGGTGCCAGGGGTCTGGGGCTCCAGCAGCCGGGTCCGGCGGCTGCCAGACTCTGTCCAGCTGTGCCCAGGAGGCTTTTCCCTCCCTCCTCGTGCCTCGGTGTCCCTGGTGTGGCTCTTGGCACGTGCGTGCGGTGGCCGGGCTACGTGTGAGCCACGCCGGCCACTCCCTGCCCAAACGCCGATGGCACCGGCGGGCACGGCCAGCCCTGGGGGACCCGGGTGTGGGGAGGGGAGCTCGGAGGGCAGGGGGGGAGTGGGAGAGGATGCTGCGCTCCCAGGAGCTGGGTCTCCCTGGGAATGTGGCTTTGTCACCCCACGAGGGAGTGACAGAGGTGCCTCCAGGCTGAGGAGGGTCAGCAACAGCCTCAAGGACGCCCCGGTTGAGTTTAACTCTGTATCACCACTCTGGCTGCGGTCGGATCCTCCCGGGAATCCCTCGGTTTAGCTCCCAATGTCTTGTGTTGTTTTCTGGTGGGTTTTGTTATGGGTTTTTTGGTTTTGTTTTTTTTTTTTGGTTGGTTGGTTGGTTGCGTTTTGTTTGTTTGTTTTGTGCCGATTTGCTGTTTTTAAGTCCCTTGGTGCATCCCCGTCCCGTTCGACCCTTCCCCAATTAGGGAGCCGCTTGACGAGGCGATCGCTGCCCGTTCCGGCTCCAAACCTGCCCCAAACCCCCCGAGACCCCCCCAGCTTCCACCTGGAAGCTGCAGGGTACTGTCGGGAGGTAGAGCCGGGGAGAGCGGGGCTGCCAGTGGGCTGGTGGGTGTCCCTGAAGCCCCTTTGTCCCCTGGGGCTGGGGGGGGGCTCCCGGGATGGTCCCGATCCCCCGGGATCCTGGCACGGGGAGGGCGGGCAAGCGTTGGCTTGCAGAGGGAGCGACCCGCCCCCTCCCCGCCCGCTGCGGGGGGAACCCGTGATTCATCCGGGCTCGGAGCGCTGGGAGCGCCCGCCGAGCTCTGCCAAACCCGGTGCGCCCGTGGGGCGGTGCCGAGCGGGGAGAAGAGGGGGGAGCCTCGGGGTTCTTCCTGCGTGCTGTACCCCAAAAGGGTCAGCGGTGACCCCTGAGCGAAGGGGGGCCCGCACAAACCCGCGAGGCTGGAGCCCCCCCGCAGCCGGGGGGGGGGGGGGGGTCCCTGGCACGACGGCGGCACGGAGAGGGTTTTGGGGAGGCCACCAGGGGACTGTCACCCCGAAACGCTGGCCCGCAGCTCTTGCCACCCCGCCCCAGCCTCGGCTCCTGCTGACGGCGGCACATTCCTCGGGGACAAGCCGCCCTTTTCACCCCCGACCGAAGCGCAAACCTGGTGTCATCCGCCGGGTGTTGTAAAGCCGGCCCAGCCCGGAACGCGGTGACGCCAAGCGCTGAGCCAGGGCTGGCTCTGCAGCCGGGCCCGCGTGGCCACGCTCGCCCCAAACCGCCCAGCCCGGCCGGGGACGAGCCACCGTGTCCCCGAGCAGGGGCAGAGCCGCTGCCCGGCCGTGGCTGAGAACAGCCGCAACTCAGGGCAGGGATGAGCAGCTCGGTCAGAGAGCTGGGGCTGCTGCGGGAGGGCGGCGCGACCTGACACTGCGGGAGGGGGGGGGATTTTGGGAGTTGATCCTAAGCACGCTGGGCTGTGGGGGAACGCGGTGGCCCCCAGTCCGGCTGTGCTGGGCTCGGCAGGTGGGGCGAGGCTAATTAGTACCTGTGGTGGCAGCAGGGGCTGAGTCACCGCGTTCGTCACCGCGGGCCCGCGGCTCCCAGCCGCCCCTTTTTTATTATTGTTGTTCTTTAATTCCCCGGCTGATTTGAAAAGCAAAGCAGGGAGGGCCCGGCCAGGAATTACTGCAGGGAGACCCTGCTCCGGGCTGCCCCCCAGTACCCAAGGCGCACCCGGGGGCTTGGGGTCCTTGTGGGGCTGCCGAGGGGTTCAGGGTGACCCTGGAAAGTGGCTCAGGAGCCTGGGGGTGCCTGGGGAGGATAACTGGGGTTTAGTGATGGGTAATGTGGGAGGTGCGGGGCTGGCTGTGGAGCTTCCTGGGAGCGTAGGGGTCTCCTGGAAGACCATATGGGGGTCTGGGGCTCGTTGGAGGGACAATGCAGGGGTCCAGAGCTCTACAGAGAGGTTATATGGGGGGTCCAGGGCTCTCCTAGGAGGTTCCCTGGGGGTCTAGAGCTCACTGGAGGGACAATGTAGGGGTCTGGAGCTCAGTGTCAGGGCCGTTTGAATCTCTGGGCGTTAATGGGAATGTTGTCTGGGGCTCTTCTAGGAGACCATGTGAGACTCCAGGGCTCATTGGAGGGACAGTGTGGGGGTCTGGGACTCAGTGTCAGAGCCACGTGGATCAATAGGGGGGCTGCTGGGGGGTCCAGGACTCTCCTAGGAGGTAAAGGAGACAGCTGCCCGAGGGGATCCTGGCTTTTCCCAAAGTATGACCTCCCCCCAGACCCCTGGACCACCTGCCTCTCTCTCGCCCTCGTCCCCGCAAGGTCGCCCCTGGGCTCCTCCACCTGCGGCGGTGCCGGTGGTGCCGGTGACGATGGTGCCGGTGGCCCCGACGGGGCCCCCTCCTTCCCGCCGGCGGCGGCGGCGAGGCGTGGCAGCGGGGCGGGCCGGACGGGCCGGGACGGAGCCTCCCTAGGGCTGGGGAGCGCTGAGCCGCCGCTCACCTGCGCAGGGCGGCCGGGCTGGCCGGGGCCCCCCGCGCCGCCGCCATGCAGGAGACTAACGCCTTCCTGCTGTCGGCCCTGCAGCCCGAGGCCGGCGTCTGCTCCCTGGCCTTGCCCTCGGACCGGCAGCTGGACGAGCGTGGCCGGGAGGCGGCCGAGACCCAGCGGCTGCGCAGCGCCCGCGTCCAGGAGCAGGTCCGCATCCGCATGATGCTGCGGGGGAACGCGGCGCCCACCCGCCCCGAGGACATCGCCGACGGCAGCAGAGGTGGGAGACCAATCGGGACCCCCGGGGCACTCACGGTGGGAGCCCCTTGGGTGGCACTGGGATACGGCCACACCCCTGGCTGGGGGTTTGGGGGTGTCCTCCACCCTGGCGGAGCCCCCCGAACACCCCCGAGCACCCCCAGCACCGGGACAGGGGTAGCACAGCCCCCAGCGTGGCCTGGTTTCGCCACACTCGGAGTCCTGCCTCAGTTCCCCCACCTGCCCCAGGAGGGATTTGCACTGGGGGGGTCCCGTGCCTCACGCTGGGCTGGGAGGGGGACGGTTTTTCCCGCCCTGGCAGAGCCCCCCCCGGCTCTGAGCAGCACCACTGGCCAGGCTCCAGCTCCTCCATTTAACGTCTGCGCCGGCAGCCTCCGCCCTGCCGCCTCGCCCGGCACTGCACAGGATCCCTGAGCCCCCCACCCCTGTGCTGGGGGACCCCGGTGGTGGGGACAGACCCCCCTTGGCCCCCTGCCCGAGGTGCAGGCGTGAGTCACGCTCCCAGCACTGCCGGGGCTGACGGTGTCCCCATCCTGTCCTGTCCACAGCCCTGGGGCGCTGGCACAGCAGATGGGCAGTGTGAGGTGCCCATGGGCCCAGTGGGGTGTCCAGACCCCGTCAGGGTCCCATCCCAGGAGAAACCAGGACTGTCTTTTTTGGGGTTGCCCGTGCTGCTGATCCGGCTGTGGCAGAGGGGACCGGGCTGAGCCGCCGCGTCCCCGCCAAGGTGGCAATTAGTGCCCTCGCCGTCGGGGCACGATGCAGGGCGGGGAGGCCACTTCTGCTCCCCATGGCCAGCGGGCAGGCGAAGGCAGCCTCCTCCTACCCCTTCATCCCCCCAGAGCCACTGGCGCGGCCAGGGCTCCAACAGCAGGTTCCCCTGGGATGAGCTGGGGGGGTGTCTTTGATCCCTAGGACTCCCTTTTACCCCTCTGTGCTTGCATTGACCCCTCTGTCGCTGTCCCTCAGGTGGTCACTATGGCACGACCCTGCACCCCTCCTTCAGCTCCCGCTCCCAGAGCAATGGTGTGGACCCCAAAGCCTCGGTATGTACTGGGGGGTTTATTCCCCACCCTGCACTGGTGCCCATCACTGTGCTGGCTGGGGATGCCGGCGGAGACCCAGCCCCTGCTGTAGCTTTGGTTGTGCCAAGAGGAGGGCTCTGGGCTCCATCCTTTCCTCTCCCGCAGCGGGGACGGAGGAATAGACTCTTGCCCTTCCTAAGCCCTTGCTTTCCCCCCCAGCTGTACCAACCTCTGGCCAAGAAGGATTTCGGCACCCTGCGGGGCAGCGGCTGGTCCTCCCGCTCGGCCGTGGACCTCACCCCGCACAAGCGCGTGGCCACCATCAGCAACGGGGGCCTGGCCAAGGCCCGGGGCTACGGCGCCGGCTACGCGGCCTCGCAGGCGGCCAACACCTCGCCGCGGCCCAGCTCCTTCCACGAGCGCACCTACCGCAGCCGGCAGAACTTCGACACGCTGTCGCTGCGCTCCCTGCGCCTGGCGGACGGGCCCCTGCAGCCCCCCGGCCTCGCCGACGACCGCTACAGCGTCCTCTCGGAGCAGCTGGACGCGCCGGGGCACCGCCCGTTCTACAAGAGCCAGGGCGGCGGCGGCGGCTTCGCCCGCTCCTTCGCCTTCGAGCGGCAGCTGAGCGCCGGCACGGCCGCCAAGGCCGGCTGCGAGTGGCTGGAGGGGGCCGAGGGGCCGCCGAGCCGCACCATCCGCGCGCCCGCCATGCGGACGCTCCAGCGCTTCCAGAGCAACAACCGCTCGCGGCTGAGCGCCGGCTCCTTCGGCGGAGTGTCCGCGGGCGGCACGGGCGCCTTCCTGGGGCTGGGGGAGCACGGCTCCCGCGCCCCCTCCGTGCGCAGCCTGGCCGAGTCCGGCCACCACCTCCCGGAGCCGCGCGCCATGGAGATGTACAACGGGCACGGGACGCTGCTCGGGCACCACGCCGGGGGGTGAGTGCCGTGGGGCTGCTCCGGGGATGCTTATGAGGTTCACCCATGAGGGTGAACCCCTCCAGCTCCCACCAGGCACAAGGCATGTGGGAGGAGGGGTGGGATGGTGGGCACGGCTTGGTCCCGTGGCACGGGCTGACCTCTGAGTGTGTCCTGCCTGCGGCCTTGGCTCCTTCCTGGACACATCCTGAGACACAGGGGAGGGAAGGTGCTCATCCTGCTGGACTGGAGTCCTGCGCCCTGGAGCACAGTGGGAAGGAGGTGGGCTGGGAGGCTCCTAGGAGACGTGGGACGTGGTGGAGAGGGAGATGGCTTGGTGGGGCTCTCAGAGAAGTGGGATGTGGTGGGTGCAGAGGTGGAGAACCCTGCGGGACACTGTGCTGGGGCTCCCCCTCACCTGGCTGTGCTTCCAGGTTTGACGACATCGACCTGCCCTCGGCAGTGAAGTACCTGATAGCCAGTGACCCCAACCTCCAGGTGCTGGGCGCTGCCTACCTGCAGCACAAGTGCTACAGCGACAGCAGCGCCAAGAAGCAGGTGAGCCCCCAGAGCCGTGGGAGAAGGGGGTGCCCCGGCCCCTCCAGCACAGCGGGCGCCCCAGGGCGGGAGGAAGGGCTGGAGGGAGCCCTGGGAGCGCAGCATGTCTGACCCCCTGGGCTGTCCCCCAGGCCCGCAGCCTGCAGGCCATGCCCAAGCTGGTGAAGCTGTTCAACAGCCCGAACCAGGAGGTGCAGCGCCACGCCACCGGCGCCATGCGCAACCTCATCTACGACAACGCCGAGAACAAGCTGGCGCTGGTGGAGGAGAACGGCATCTACGAGCTCATGCGCACGCTGAGAGAGCCCGACGACGAGCTCCGCAAGAACGTCACAGGTTGGGGACGACGGCGGGGTGGGCAGGGGGTCCCCTCCCCCGGGGGTGGCACTGCACTCCCCCCTCCCACCCTGTGAGCAGGGCTGGGATGGTGCTGCACGCGGGTGACCCCTCTGCATCCTTTGTCACACTCCCTGCCCCATGGCTGCTCCTGGCCGTGGGTGGTCGGTACGAGCCCCCCCTCAGGGAGGTGAGTTGGGGTGGATGTGCTTTCCAGCCATTCTGGAACTGAGGATCCCCCCGCTCTGTGCAGGGATCCTGTGGAATCTCTCCTCCAGCGACAACCTGAAGGATCGCCTGGCGCGGGACACGCTGGAGCAGCTCACGGACCTGGTCCTGGTCCCCCTCTCTGGGTTGGGGGGCTCGGGTGTCATCCAGCAGAACCCCTCAGAGGCAGAGATCTTTTATAACTCCACAGGCTTCCTCAGGTACCTGCTCTGGGTGCTCCCACTGGGGGAAAAGTTTTGGGCTGAGGAAGAGCGGGGTTTGCAGGGCTTGTTTCTGGGGTCCCTCCCGCTCGTGTACCCCGGCAAAATCTGGTCAGCCCCATGGGGAGGTACCGGCTGCCCCCTCCATGGGGTGCCTGGGGCAGGAGGGGGCTGTGGCAGATCCTTTTCTCTCCGTGATGGACCCCCCTTCCCGTGCAGGAACCTGAGCTCCGCCAGCCAACAGACCCGGCAGAAGATGCGAGAGTGCCATGGGCTGGTGGACTCCATGATCCACTACGTGAACAGCTCCCTGGAAGTGGGGAAGTCAGAGGACAAGGTGAGTCCTGGGTGCTGGGCGGGGGGCTGAGCTGCTGCTCCCCACTCTTGGTGGCTGTCGTGGTGCAAAGTCACGTCTTGGATGTGATGGTGGGAGAACCAGCCCGGCTCCATCCGGGCTCCCTGGGCACAGCAGGCACAGCCGGTGTCGTGGCTGGGCACGGAGCCCCCCCGGGATCCCACCCCGGGGGCTGTGCCAGCTGGGGACACCCTGGCAGGTGGCACGGGATGGCACCGTCGTGTCCCATCTCGCCCCCAGAGCGTGGAGAACGCCGTCTGTGTCCTGCGCAACCTCTCCTACCGCCTGTACGACGAGATGCCCCCGTCCTCGCTCCAGCGCCTCGAGGGCCACAGGAGGGGCGCCGGCGGCACGGTGACGGGGGAGCTGGTGGGCTGCTTCAGCCCCCAGAGCAAGAAGGCCCGTGAGGTCAGCGGGGGCATGTGGTGGCCGTGTCACCGGGGCGGGGTTGGCGCTGGGAAGCGCTGGCAGCAGAGGTGGTGCTGGGGCGGAGGTGGACGCCAGCCTCGGGTGGGTGGGACACACGGGTGAGCTCAGCAGAGGGTGAATCAGGGTGCTGAAACCCCGCTTTTCCGTGCCACGGGGCATGACGCAGCCGGGGTGACCTGCCAGGTCCCTGCCCAGGCAGGGAGGAGGGGACACCGGCAGGGAGGGACACTGCGGAGGGGCCACCTCCAGAGTCTAACGGTGCCCCCGTCCCTCAGCACTACCTGAACGCGGACATCGTCACCTTCACGGAGGTCTCCAAGGACCCCAAGGGGATGGAGTGGCTCTGGAACCCGCAGATCGTGGGCATCTACAACCGGCTGCTGCAGCGCTGCGAGCTCAACAAGCACACGACGGAGGCGGCCTCGGGCGCCCTGCAGAACATCACGGCCGGGGACCGCAGGGTGAGGCGCGGGGGTCCCCGGGGCCAGCCTGGTGGTCCCCACCGCGTGGCCGTCACAACTGTGCCCGGGAATGGGGGACACCTCCGGGAGGGGAGGCACCTCCTCTCCTGGGTCATCACCTGGGCAGGGGTCACCCCGACCCCCGGAGCGGGAGGAGGAAGGGGAGGAGGAAGAGGAGGGGGAGGAGAAGGAAGCGGAGGAGGAGCGGTGGGTGCCCGCGGGAGGCTCCAAGCAGGTGTGTTTGCCTCGGCAGTGGGCAGGGGTGCTGAGCCGGCTGGCGCTGGAGCAGGAGCGCATCCTGAACCCCGTGCTGGACCGTGTCCGCACCGCCGACCACCACCAGCTGCGCTCCCTGACCGGGCTCATCCGCAACCTGTCCCGCCACGCCCGCAACAAGGATGAGATGTGTGAGTGCCGGGGGGCACGCGAGGCTGGGGTCGGGGGGTTGCCCAACAGGTGACTTGCAGCCTTTTCCTCCTCGACCTGGTCTGCAGTTAACCCCAGCCCCGTCCCAGCCCCGTCCTGCCTGCTCCATCCCTGCTCACAGCTGAGCACGTGGGCTGGTCCATCCCCTGTTCCCAGACACGGCTCGACCCTCTGTCCCCTCCTTGCCCCCCGGGGACTGCCGCGTGTCCCCTGGGTCTGGCCACCAGCCCTGACGTGCCCTTTGCCCGCAGCCACCAAGGTGGTCAGCCACCTGATCGAGAAGCTGCCCGGGAGCGTGGGGGACAAGGCACCGCCCGCCGATGTCATCGTGAACATCATCGCCGTGCTCAACAACCTGGTGGTGGAGAGCCCCATGGCTGCCCGCGACATCGTCTACTTCGACGGCCTCAGGAAGCTCTTCTTCATCAAGAAGCGACGGGACAGGTGGGTGCTCCCTCTCCTCCTGGCTGTCCCAGCTCCCACCTGGGCTCCCGTCCTGCTCTTCGCTTCCTCCCCTGGTCCAGCGCGGTGGAAGAGGGTCACAACAAGTCTCCCTTCCCTTCCTTTGGTGTTGGGAGTCCCCAGACCAGCTCAGAGTGGCCTCGTGGCCTCCTGTCATCCCTGGGCCGCCCTCTTAGGGCACCCCACCGTCCCTGCAGCCACATTCTCCTGTCAGGATGCTTCTCCTCCCTCCTGCCCGTTGTGGTGGGCTCCAGCCTTTCGCCTCCTGCCTCTCCCCACCCACGCTGAGCCCCCAGTCCCTCCAGGCCCCTCTGGGATGGTCTCCTTGGGCTGGTGGGCACCATCCCATGCTCAGCCATCCCCAAAACTCACTGCATCCTATGCCTGTCCCAGCTCGGACAACGAGAAGTCCTCCCGAGCCGCAGCCAGCCTCCTGGGAAACATGTGGCAGTACACCAAGCTCCACCGGGACTTCAAGATGGTACGTACCCGTTCTGGAGCCTCGTGCATCCTGGGGGGGTGTGTCTGGGGGGCCATCCCGAGGGAATCAGGGCCAGGGGACCCACCCTGGAGAGCCGCACCACCCCAGTGCTTCCCAGCACACGGCAGGTCCCCACTCCATGCCTGCCCCTCCTGAGAGGTGGGGACTTCCCAGAGCATGTCTCTGGGGTCCATGTGCACATTCCCACTGCCCTGTGTGATGGGGGTCTGTCTCCTTGCAGAAGGGGTACCGGAAGGAGGACTTCCTCAGCCTGTGAGGACACCCTGGGAGCTGGAATGCCCTGCTGGGATGCTCCGTGCTGCCGGCCACGCCCTGGGGAGGCTGCTCGCCATCGGACCCCCCCTCTGTAGCCTAGTCCCCACCACATCCCGTGCGCCTCCCCCTCTGCTGGGTCCCCTTCCCGTGCTGGGGGACACGTGTCCTCCCTCCTGCCCAGCCTTAAACCCAGAGGCTGCTTTTGGCTCTGCTGTGGGGCCCCACAGGGACCCCATTAGTAGGGGTCTGCCTCACAGCACCCCTTGGGGACCCTCCCCACCCTCAGGCAGCTGGCTGCAAAACTTGGCTTGTCCCGCAACTTGACAGAGGGGCAGGAACCACAGGGATTTGGGAAGGCTCCTGTAGAGCAATGCTGGGTCAGGGGGGCTTTCAGGGCTGCTTCATCCCAGCTCCCTGAGCCACAGGGCTGGGTGGGTGTCGGTGCCCTGCACCAGTGTGGGATGTGCTGTGGAATACGTGTGCTGTGCCCCAGCTGGGTGGGGACGGGGCTTTGCATGGCTTGGGGGGCTTAGAGGGCTCTGAGGTGGCTTCCCACAGTTAATGGGGTGGCACAGGGGCTGCAGGGAGCGGGATGTGGTGCTGCGTGCCCCCTTTGCCGGTGTCATCGGGTAGAGGGATGTGTGTCACTGGGGCTGCCCGTGCCCTCGCTGCAGGAAACCAGGGGTGTCCCTGGAGCCCATCTGTCACCCCGTGGGGACTGCCCCAGCGTGGCAGAGCCGCCGCTGCCGCTCCTCCCCAGCTGCTGCCAGGGCTGGGCCCAGCTGGCACAGCGGGAGCAGGATCCGGGCAGGGCCGGCCGGGTCGTGTTTGCCGAGCAGCGTCACCCCGTGGGTGGGGAGATGCCCCCAGTGCCCCTGGCTGCCTCGGTGCTGGGCACAGGCGGGGCAGCAGGTCTAAAGCTCGGCCAGGCGGGTGGGCTGGGGGGTGGCTTCGGGCTGCCGGCGGGTTTGGGGCTGGGGGGAGCAGCCTCTGCGCTTGGGGGGCACAGCACACCCCGGGGGGAACGAGGTAGAGTAGGTGGAGGGGTGGGAGGGTTTGGGGAAGGGGGTGGTGCTGCCAGAAGGGTTGCATCCGGGGCTGACGTGGCCCCCTCGGTGAGCAGCACCCGGCGCGGTCCCGGCTGGGGGTCACGGGGTGTTTGCCTCCCCAGCTCTCAGTGTACACCCCCCCCCCGAGCCCTGTGCACCCCTGAAATAAAGGCCTTGAACGATGCCCACCTGCCTCTGTGCTTGGCTGGCACGTGGGAGGGGGGACAGCACCCCAGGGACACCAGGACCTTGGGGTAACCAGCATGGGGTGAGCTCACCCCGCAGTGCCACCCCGCTCACTGTGCCCGGTGTGGCTCTGAGTCGGTGTGACAGGGACACTGGTGTGGGAGGGACGCAGCACAGAGCTGCCCACCCTGCTGCCTGTGGTAGGGAAACCCCCGCCCCGTGTCACCCGTGTCCCCCCCTGGTGTCACCCCTGTCCGTGCCACGGACAGACCCACTGGGTGCAGCAGCCTTTTATTGCCACGGGGTTCCTGTGGGGCAGAGGTACTGCTGCCACTCCCGCCTGGCACTCCCTGGGGCTGGGGCTGCTCCTTGGAGGGCATCGCCCATCCCAGCGCTTGTCCATCACGCAGGAAGAATGTCCCTGCCGCCCACGGCGAGGGACGGGGCCCAGCACCCAGGTACTGTGGGCAGGGTGTTCCTGGGGTTGGTTTTCCACCACAGAGCCAGCTCCTGCTCTCCCACCACGACCATGGCTCTGGTGGTCCCATCGTAATGCCCGGGCTCCTCTGCCGTGACCTGGTCTGGGCGTCCCCACAGGGAGAGGGAACACCGTGTCTCTGGCCTGTGGCTCTGCTCAGATGTCATCCTCTGTCACCAGGCAGTAGAAATCCGTGCGGGCGCCGTAGTTGCGCGATCCCAGGTCCGAGACGTCGATCTCGGGCCTGTGGCCGTCCCGGAGCTGCGCGTCCTCCGTCCCACCGGCAGCCGGAATGCCGGGAGTGCCCAGGCGGGGGGGCGGGGGGCTCCCGAAGATGCGCCCTCGGAGGCCTGGCAGGAGCAGGGAGATGGATTTAGGTGGCGGAGAGAAGGAGCTGGACCCAGCCTGCTCTGCCACAAGAAGGGGTGGCAAAGCCCAGAGGTGACCTCCAGCACGCATCTGTCCCCCCAGGAGGAACAGCAGCAGACACGGACCTGTGCCAAGGTCCCCATCTGGGTCGAGGTCTCCCGTGCTGTCCAGGTAGCTGCTGTGTAGGATCAGCATGGGGTCCTTGTCCTCCTGCAGCTGGGTCTGCGGGTCCCCCACGCTCCCCTGGAAGGACACCTTGCGTGGCAGGGCCAGGCACAGCTCCTTCCAGAAGTCCGATGATGGGGTCTGCAGGGTCAGGGGGGAGATGAGCCACGCTGGGACCACGGCAAAGCCGAACCTGGCCCCACACGGTGCTGGGGAGGGTTTCACAGGCTTGGCTCACTCTTCCTGGCGGTGGGAGCTCAGCCAAGGTGAGGGCCGTGCTCCGGTGTGGCATCGTGCCCACGCGCCGGCGGAGAAACCTGCCCGACCTGCTGGAACACTCCTCAGGGCTCCAGCTCCCAGCCTGGCCCTGAAATGGCCGGAGCAGCCGCGGGCCAAAACTCTGCTCCCAGAGCTGGGGTTGGGGAGACCCCGGAACATCACAGGGCCCTGACTGTGCGGGTTTGGGGGTAAGCACCCAGATCCAGGGCTGTTCCGGTTGCATTTTTAAATTGCCTCTAAAAGACGAGTGCCCCAAGCTGCTCTTTAGCATTGGAGCCTGGGGAGCAGCCCCAGAGGGCAGCAGGGAGGCTGACACAAAATGGGGAGCTGGGAACGGAAGCGGGGTGCTGCTGGGATCGGTCCTGCTCAGCTCTCACCACGGAGCAGCCCCAGAGGGCAGCAGGGAGGCTGACACAGGAGGCTGACAAAAAGAGAGGTGCTGGGGATGGAAGGGAGCTCACCATGGAGCCGGATCGCCACACCAGCAGGGTCACGGTGCTCCGGTGCTGCTTCAGCAGGGTGATGGCAGGGTGGGTGATCTCCCGGTACTGGCTCTCGAAGACGATGAAGATGGGTTTCCTGGAAAGCTCCAGCAGCCTCCAGAGCCCTTCCCTGCGAGACAGGTACATGGCAGAGGGGTGAGGGACCCACCAGCCCCTCTCCTCTCCCATGGGAGCTGCTCGGCTCCTACCTGAAGCTGCTGTTGCACCAATCCTGCTCCAGGTACGCCACGGAGAGGACCACGATGAGGCGCCGGCACCGGCTGACGTTCATGATCAGGTCGGCTGATGGCTCTGTGGGCAAAGGGGTCTCAAGCCCCTGGGCGCCCGTGTGACCACCCTGCCCAGCCCCATGGGGGGCTGGTGCCTACCTGAGTTGGGCAGGATGTTCTGCTCGTCCAGGAAGAGCTTGTAGCCGTAGCGGTTCTCCAGCTGCGGCTTCACGATGAAGTGGACGAACTTTCGGTCGTCGGGGGCGGCGGCGTGGGAGATGTAAGCGTCGTACAGCTTCCCGTCTGGGGAGAGCCACAGGGCGTCACAGGGGAGGGGTCTGTGAGCCCCCGGACCAGAGGAGGCTGTTCCCAGGGGAGCTGTTCCCTCTGGCTCACCGTTGATCTCCAGCTCGCCGTAGCGGTTCCGGTACCAGAGGAGCACGTTCAGGCGGCACCGGACGTAGAGCGCAGCCAGGAGCACCAGGAGTGCCAGGACCAGGAGGGCTGCCAGCACCGCCGGCACGTGCCCTGCTGTCTCTGCCAGGACAGGGAAGGACGCGGTGAGTGTGGCTGGTGGCCCTGGCCTGGGTTTTCTGGGTTTGGTGAAGATTTGCACCCCAGGAGAGGCAGCAGTGCTCCTGTTACCCGCATCAATCCCCCATGGCACGTGGGCTCTCCATGGGGGTGTCTCCTCCCTGTCCCCAGCCTGTCCCTACCCGCTCGCTGCAGGGTGAAGGTGGCTGTGGCATTGCTGAGCCAGCAGGCAAACACCCCAAAGTCGTCATCGTGGGTGAGGTTGAGGTGCAGGACGGTGGCCAGGAGCTGCTCTGAGGCGTTTTGGGCAGACCTGAGGGGAGATGGGGCCGCCATGGGTTGGGCTGTTTGGTGACACACACCTTCCCCCCCAGGATGGATGGGTGTCCCCAGGGCCAGCTCCTTACCAGGCGGTGTCCTGGCTGCTCCCATTGCCCAGCCACTGCCCATCCTTGCTCCAGGCAGGGACGGGCCGGCAGCTCTCGGCCCCGGCCCAGCGGACAGTGCAGTTCAGCACGACCTGGCTCCCCAGCGCCAGGTCCAGTGTCTCGTTGGCAGCCGGGACCAGGATCTCGGGGGGCACGCTGCAGAGGTCTGGGGGCACAGCAGGGAGGGGCTTTGGATGGGACAGCTGATCCAGTTCCCTGCTGTCGTAGCCATCCCGGAAAAACAAGCTCTGCCGTGGGGGTCTGGCAGCGAGCAGCGCTCGGGGCTGGTTAGCAACAGGCTGAGCCAGTTTTGGGGGCTGGGATGGACCCTCTCCCACCCCGTGAGGTGAAGCCAGAGCAGGACCCCCAGCTGTGCCTGCACGGGGACCCTTCCCAGCTGAGAGCAGGTGAGAGTTTGGATTTCGCCTACCTGCCATAGTGTGCTCAGGTGACGGGCGCTGCCGGCATCCCCGGAGGGCCCTGCGTGCACCCCTGTGTGCAGCGTCTTCCGGGGGGGGCAAAGTCCACCTGCCTCTGCCACAGGGCGGGCTGGGCCTGGGAGAGACCAGGAATGGCTCCGTGAGCACTGCCTGCTCCGGGAGTGCCCGGCCATCCCCATCGGTCCCCGCAGCAGTTCGGTCTGGGGGTGGTGGGTGATGCTCTGTGGTAAAGCCAGAGTCCCACCCACGGCGTGGTGGCCACTGCCCTTCCTGTGCCGGCTCCTAGCCTGGCTTTCCCAACAGTGGATTTGCGGGTGGGAGGTGATTAATGACCAACCGGGTGCTGTGGGATGTTAAGAATGCGGCTTCAGCTCAAACCCAAGACCAGGGAGGGGAAGCGAGCTCAGCCAGAGGGTGTGCAGCACCTTCCTGGGAATCCGTGCCTTGGGAGGGCTCAGCAGGACTCCCTCTGCTTGCCAAGCCCGCCACGAGCTGCAGAGCTGCCTCCAGCCTGACATGCCCTTGAACTCGCTAATTAACAGCAGGACAGTTTGTTTATGGAAACGCAGGAGAGCTCCTCCAGCGGGTGCCGTGTTCCCGGCGTGTCCGGTTGCTACCCCATGGCTGTGGCCAGGGATTGGCACAGCTGCATGATGTGCCAGGCGAAAGTGGGGAGCACAGGGATGGCACATGGAGACCCCCCCTCACACAATAGGCAGCGGTGGCACTACTGTGGCCCCGTGGGAAGAGGCAGATGCCGGGAGCAGATGGCAGAGCAGAGCCTGGCAAGGTCGGACTCTGCCATCCCCAAACACCCACAGAGCCCTGGTGTTGGTGATGGGGGTGCCAGGGCTGAGGTGGGAGTCTCAAGGACATCACGGTGCTGGTGTTTCCATCGTAAACACCCGGCCTAACTCTGGGGGTCAGGAGTGGGGAAAGCCTCTCCCAGCTGCCTCTTCTCCTTGGAGCTTTGGCACTCTCGGCTGCACCCTGATTTTGGGTGGCAGCAGGGCTGGGCTCAGCCTGGAGAAGCTGTGTCTGCTGGTGTGGAAGGGGAAGGGGGTGGTCTGTGGTGCAGCTCAGCTCAGAGCAGGGATGGGGGCACGGTGTGCTCCCCTCTGGCACAGCCCAGTACCAGCCTGGGGTTAAACAGGGGGTCAAGGTACGCGGGGGACACATTCAGCTTGAGCAGCAGCAAAATGATTTGTACCTAAAGGATTAACTGGGCTTCTCCATGGCCAAGGAAGGAAGAGTAAGGGGTGGAGGAGGGCCAGCCCACCTGGATTTCACCTGCAGAAAGGATGGGAGATGATCACCAGGGTGGCATGGGGCTGTCTCTGCCTGGCAGGATGCTCCAGCTCTGTTCACTCCAGCCTGGATGGGTCACTCCTAAATCATTTCCCTTAGCTGGTTGGAATAAGGAAGCCCCAACAAGCTTCAGCCTGGCCAGGGAGTGTGGGGAGGTCCCAAAGCCCCCCCTGCTCCTGACATGGCGCTGGATGCCCACAGGGGAGTGGGTGCCAGGGCTGCTGAGTGCAAGGGAGGGAGGAGCACCCGCTAACGGGCAGCTGCAGCTCCCATTTCCCACATCTTGGGGTTGGGGACACCCCAGATGGTGGGTGCCATGGGGCGGGGGGTGCTGGCTGGGGGGCAGCATTCCCTGGAGCTCAGCCATGGGGAAAGCGAGGCGGGCAGGGAGGCACAGTGGCCAGGGGGTTGTGGGGCAGCAGAAATCGGGATAGAGAGTCAGAGAAAAACCAGAGGGGAGAGTGAAGGAGAACCCAAGGAGAACCACAGGGTGTGGGGCGAGGCTGAAACCCTGCTGACCCTGTCCGAGGCGGCATCGGCGCGGAAAGGGAAGCGGAACAGAGCTGCGTTTACCTTCGGAGTTTCCTCGGCCTCAGGCTTCCTGCCTGTCCCCTCCTGCTCGAGCCGACCAGACCGGCCAGATCAGTGCTGGGGTTTTCTCTTTTTCTTTTGTTTTAATAATTTATCTATTTCTCCTCCCGGTTCAGCCCCTGCCCTCGGCCGGGCGCTGCCGCCGCCCCAATCCCTGGGCTCCAGGCCTGTGGGAAGGGTTGGCCGTCCCTCCCTCCTGCTGCTCCACCTCCACCTGAACCTGCAGGGAAAAAAAAAAAATCCAACAGATCTGGCTTCAGGTGAAGGGAAGAGAGAGAATAAAGGAGAAAAGAAGAGGGGGGCAACAACCCAGCCAGCCTGCCAGGCACACGCGAGTGGCACAAGGCTTGGGGGCTGTGGTGGAACCCCATGTTTTTCTGTGGCTGGAAAAACCCACTGAGGTGTCGGGGCAAGATGAAACCTGCCCCATTTCCCCCCACCACCAGGCAGGGAGGATGTCGGGGGGGTGTTCCAGGGGATGGGTTGAAGTTGGGGACTGCACTTTGGGGTCATGGTGTGCACTTTGGGGTCGTGGAGGTGAGTTACTGGGAGGAGCTGGGGGAGTCTGTTGGCTGTGCCTGTGGGCATTGTGGGGTCTCCTGTTTTCTCTGTTTCCTTCTCTCTGTGACTTTAGAGCCCCTTTGCTGGTTGGAGCTGGTGCTGGAGGTGGCTGCTCCAGCTGGCACTGCCCGTGGGGGGCTGGATCTGGCCGTGGCCGCTTGTGGACAGCAGGTATCACCTGAATTAATTAGCAAGGAGGTGATTAGAGCCTCAGCACACCCCAGGCGCAGGTTGGTCACAGTGGCAGCACCACCAGCCTCTGGAGAAACACCAACATGAACTGCAGGTGCTGAGCACCAAAAGCATCGACCAGCACGTGCTTTGGGGCCAAAAAGGGAAGCAAATGGCCCTGAGTGTGAATGTGTGTGTGCATGTGTTTATATATATATAAATACAGAATAGACAGGTACAGGTCACAGGTAGGTCTGTGAGTCTGTTCACATGGAAAAACAGCCTGGCTCTGACTCCTCATTGGTTATGATGTAAAATGCTGGTGCTGTTGGCTTGTTGTGGGGGCAAAAGGAACAGAGGGAAACCCCCTGGAGCTCTGGGAAGAATCCCCTGCTCCTGTGCCCCACAGCTGTTGGCTGCGTGTGTTTGGGGCAGCAGGTGATGGAGCAGCCCTTTCTGGGGGGGGCTACACTGCTCAACACATGTGACAGACACTGTGATGCTCTGGCTGTGAAATCCAGCGTAAACCTCTTGGATTTTTGGGATAGTAAAGGATCACATGGAACAAGCCCAGGTCCTGGGGATGGCAAGGGTGTGAGGAAGTTTGGGATCAAACAGGGAGCTGATAAGACCTTTTTTGTCCATCAGGGTTATCCCTGTGGTAGGTAAGAGCTCCCCAGCTCTGCCTCTGGATCACTCATTCATCCCCCTGGAGCTGTGGCACCCATTCAGCCCTGGAGTGGGATCCCACTCCCACTGGAGACAAACCCCTTCTCTCTGCAGCAATCAGAGAAGGGGAGACCCAGCCAGCACTAAGGGAAGAGGTGGGATAACCCTTTCTAGCCCTGCCATTTCAGATTTGCTGATTTTTTCCCCCAATTTTCCCAGGTATTTCCATTATTCTGGTGCACTTACCGGGCCGTTTTTCCTACCGTGCACGGCCCAAGTGCCAAGATCTGGTGTCCCACCAGCCAGCACCCACACTCAGCCCTCACCATGGGCACTGCAGCTCCCACCTGTTGTGACTGTCCCCAGTGAGACAAGGAAAGGTTTTGGGGCACAGTTTCTTTGGGTGTTGGGGATGGCAGAGGAGGAAGGCAGGAGCAAGACCAGGCAGCAGGTGAAAGTCTGTATGTCCGCGTGTGGGTTGTGTTTATTTACTGTTTGCTGGTGGTAGTTGGGCCAGGCACAACTGTCAGGACTCGGCTGAGCCTGGAGCTAAACTCAGTCAGGATAACAACGGCATTTTTTCCAGGGAAACAGCAGGTCAGAGCTGCAGCCACGTGGGAATCATGCCGAGGAGGACTGCAGTGAAAGAGGGACTCATGTTCCCCAGCGGTGCGGAGTGGGGAGGTCACGGAAGGCAGTGGAAAAAGAGGCCAAAGTGCAAAAAAAGGCCTGGAGAGGGAACCTGGAATGAGGTAACTGGTGTTTCCTGTGCTTAAGGCAGTGAGTGAGGAGGACTTAGGTCGCCTGCTGCAGCCCAGCCGGGTGCTGCCCCCAGGTTTGTCCCCAGCACCACAGCTCTGTCCCAGCTACTCCGTGTGCAGGGAAGGCACATCCCAGCTCTGCCACAGCGTCCTTCCTTTCCAAGTTGGAAAGCATCCTGTTCCTGCAAAGCCACCGTCTGGGCATCACTTCCCAGTTCAAGTCCAGCTCAGTCACACGTGGCACTGTGCCAGGGGGTTCATCCAGCACCCCTGGCACTGCCAGGCTGGGGAGGGGGCTCAAGTCCGTGTTCTCCTTCTCCTGGGTCAGCGGTGGCTACACCTCGGTGGAGTACTCCATCATGCTGGGGAGAGAGCAGAGGGGCGTTGGGGAAGGGGAACTGTCTGAACTGGGAGGTGTGGAAAAACACTCCGAGTGGGAACGGGGCCTTTTGCCAAAAATAACGGGAGGAAAAATGACAGGCTGTTTGTGGGGAACCCCTGTTTGTGGGAAACCCCGCAGTCGAGGGGAAGGCAGAGCTGGAAAGCTGAACTGTGGCAGTGTGGTGCTTCCTGAACCCCACCCTCTGCTCCCACCAGGATTATGGGTGCCAGCTGGGACAGGGTGGCCATGAAGGGACTGAACCCTCCCGAGAGTGGAGCTCAGTTTGTGGGGGACAGCAGCACCAGGGTGACCCAGCCTGGGGCTCTTGTTTGCCTTGGTTCAGTTTGCTGCTGAAATATTTAATCCTTTTACATTGAACAAAGTTTAGATGGAAAAGTTGGGCAAAATCACTCCTTACTTTAACTTGGAGCTTTTCTTTTTTCAAAGGAAAAGGGGCTCTGGAACGGACAGATCCTGCAGCCCTGCAGGTCTCCTGCTACAGGGTGGACCATCTCCAAACACCTGGCACCTTCTAGGGCATCACCCACCTCAGTTCTTTACGCAGGTCAGTGTGTTTTCTGCACAGAAGCTCATTCTTGACCTTCTGGGGGACGTCGGGGATGTACCAGGCTGCGATCAGCTTGACACACAGAGCCACGTGCTGCAGGGAGCAAAGGCAGTCAGGGGCTCCCAGCCAGGGCAAGGGGCCTGCACCCAGTCCCTCCCCCCTGCCCCAGCCCTCTCCTGCCCTCCTGGGCGCTCACCTCGAAGATGATGAGGAAGGCAAGCCGGGCTGCCAAGACGTGCCAGAACTGCATGGTGTAGGAGTAGTCGTCGGCGTTCCGGTAATCCCGGTACCTGCAGCACAGCCCCGTCGGTGCCAGCCCGGGCTCCTCCATGCCAGGTGTCACACCCTGCCTTGGCTCCCTCCGTGGGGGTCCAAGAGGAGCCCCAGCAGCTTCCTCCAGCTGCCTCCAGCTCCGTCACCCCCCCCGTCCCCTGGCTGCAGGCTGGATGTAACGGTGAGGGGCACGGTGGTGGGGCAGGGGGGGCTGCTCTTACCTGCACTCCTTGATCTCATCCCTGTCAAAGTTTGGCAGCATCTCAGGCATACCAATGTCAGGCTCGAAATCCCGGATGTGGAAGATGGAGAGGCTGTGGTTGATGTACCCCGTGGAGCAGCTGCGGGGAAGGACTGGGTTTGTGGCCATGTTGGGGGGCTGTGGGAGGCCCTAAGCCAAGCAGCTCTTGTCTCTTCTGGGGGACTCAGAGGTCCCTAGATGGCAACAAAACCCATCTGTCTGCAGCTTTCATTTCTAAGGTTTCCCCGGTGTGTGGATTCTCAGGTGACTCGTAGTGTGGTTAAGCACTGTAACCTCCCATTTTGGGGGAGCCAGCACCCACCTGGGCCTCTCTTTCCCCTCCCTCCCTCCCCATTTTCACACAGCCTCGGGGAAATGGAGGTCTCTGAGGCTTCTGTCTCGTTTGACTGCACTGGGTCAGTCAGCCAAGGCTTGGAGGAACAGGGGGAGGGCAGGAGAGAGAGTGAGCCAGCACCTCAGCAGTCCTGCAGCTCTCCTGTGCTACACGGTGCCCTTTCCAGTAAGGGCACCATGGGGATGATGCGAGGGGGAGGCCAGCTGGTATGCTGAAGGTGATGCCACTGGAAACCCTGCCCTGCTCCCCTTTCCCTCCCCACCCCACTTTGGGGGACAGCTCAGCTTCCTCGTGCTCCTGCAGCAGTGGCACTGAGGCGGGTGGGCTCTGCTCAGGGACTGAACTCACTCCACGTTAGTGCGGTTCTCCCCCACACAGGGGCTGTACATGTACTTGTAGACCTGCATGGGGATGAAGTCGGAGGTGATGGCAATCACCAGCCCGTTCCCGATGACAGCCAGGATGCCGATGGCCTCCAGGACCTGGAGCCAGATCCCTATGGGAGAACAGCAGCTGGTGAGGCCCCTCTGCCACCCCACTGGCAGGTTGCAGCCCCACCCAGCTCCATCTCAGAGACAGGTTTGGCATGGCCAGTCCAAACCTCCCCTCAGCCTCTTCAGGGTCTGAAGCGGCTTCTCCTTCCCCGACCCGCAGCTGTCCCCGTGCTCTCCCTCTTCCATGGGATGCTCAGGGGCTCCTGGGGAAGGGGCTAAGCCCCGGTGCTGTTGGCCCAGGCAGCAGTGCTGGCAGGAGGGCGCCTGTGGAGCCCCTCTCACCGATGTCGTTGGCCCTCCTGGGCACCATGCGCCGGTGCAGCCGCACCATCTTGATGGCGTCCATGTGGATCTCGAACATGTTGTTGAAGAACGCCAGGAGCGGGGCCAGGGGGAAGGCAGCGACAAAGATGGTGGTGAAGCTGTACTGGATCACTGCAGAGGGGGAGACACCGCGTGCTGGTGTGAAGCCACTGCGGAGCAGACGTCCCCCAGGCTCCGGAACGATGTCTGGGTTAGTCCTGCTCTGTGGCTTGCGTGAGAGGGGCTTTGCAGGGGTGGAAGTGGGAGATAGGCGTGCCTTGGGGACCCCTAGCTCTCGTGGGGCTGTCAGAGGGGGGATCTGTGGGGACCTGCAGGGCACTGGTTGAGGGACCATGCTGGGGTTACAGCCATCACCCTGGGAGGAGAGGAAGGTCCGAGGCCAGCACAGTTGCCCACTCCGTCTGTTTTGGGAATGATCTCCTTGGGTGTACCAGAGCACTCAGAGTGGGGCTGAGCGTGGAGGTGGGGCTCAGGGCTCTCCCTTCCCTACAGGAATCCCTTCCCCAGCATCCAGCACTCTCCAGCCAAGGGACACACGTGGCTCTGCCCCAGCACCCTCCTCGCCCGCCCCCCTGCCCTACGTACTCATCTCCAAGAACTCGTCGAACAAGCTGAAGACGTTGACCTCGTTGAGCGCATAGTTCTTCAGCCACTGCCTTTTGCAGGGGTCCTCAGCCTCCTCCTCCTCTCCCAGAAATATGCTCCTCTTCTTGGGGCGCTTTTGGTTCTTGCGTAGCTTGTGGCTTATCCAGCTGCAAAACAGAGGGATTTGCGTGGCTGCTGCAGAGGGCAGCAGGGCTGGACTGCTGCTGGGACGTGCCTGGAGGAAGGGAACGGAGGACACCCTGGCCCAAAGACCAGGGTTCCTCTCTGTGAGAGCTGGGTCGGTGTCCTGGCTGTGCAGGAGCTTCAGCAAGGGAAGCTTACGGGATGAGATACTCCATCACATTGCTGATGGTCTGCTTGAGCATCATGATGATGGCCATCTGGATGAAGAGGTCAGTGATGCATCCGCTGGGGTGGCACTGGAAGGGAGGAGAGGAGAAGGGTTGTGCCCTGCAAGCAGGGCGGGCAGGCCCACGGGGCCCTTTGCTAGAGGAGGGAGCTGAGATTCCCAGAGCCTCTCTAGTGGCAGTAGGAAAAGGAAGAGGAGCAGTTGTTTGTGGGGTCAGAGAGCTCCAGGGCGAGTGCCTCACCTCCTCCAGCCTCCACCGGCCGGCGATGCGCACGTAGTGCCCTGGGCGGCCGTTGATCCTGAGCGAGGAAGCAACAACAGCAATACCCTTTGAGCCATGGCCCCCCGAGTCCCAAATGGGGTCCCTGTGCCTGGCAGGGAGGGCGGGGGGGTGGATCTGTCCCTCGGCCCTGGGGAAGGTTGGGTACATGCACCCCAAGCCCCGTCTGCCCTCTGCTCCCCCCCAGCCGCCACTCACCGTCCCAGGAAGAAGGCAATGTAGATGAGCGAGGAGAAGTTTGTGAAGAACTGGAAGGTAAAAATCTTCATGGTGAAGTTTTTCTCCCGCTGGGAGAAGCTCCGTGGTTTCTCTAGGAAAGGGAGCAAGGCCCAGGGGCTTGGTCACAGAGCAGTGGGACCTTGCCTTGCTCCCCCTCAGGTGCTACAGCACCTCTGTGAAGGCTGGAAAGGTGTCCCTGCCCTCCACCTGAGCCCTCTGATAGAAGGGAGCCCAGCTGAGCAGGGGGGTCCCTCAGAACCATGAGCCTGGGGAGAAAGGGCCTTTCAACTGGGAGGAAATCCATGCTGGGAGGAAATCCACATCGTGAGCTCCCCTGGAGCTGTGTTGCCTTCCTGCTTGTGCTGGGTCACAGCCCTGTAGGGTGAAGGTCCCTACCAAGCAAAATGTGGCTGTGGAGCAGCCAAGCTGGCAGCACGTGGGCCACAGGTGAGTGTGTGTTGGGGAGGCTCCTGGCCTCCCACGGGGACCTGCCCGGCTGGAGCTTCCAGGGAGATGCCTTGTGATGGCAGAGGATGGGGAGGAGATGGGAGCCTGGGTGCATTTGAGAGTGGCAGGGGAGCTGTGCTGTGCTGCAGGTACCACCGGGCGCTGCAGGTGGTTTCCCTTACCCAGGTCGCAGAGGAAGAGGGCCACGCGCCTGTTGATCTGCGGGAGAGAGAGAGAGGGAGGGATAACGCGAGCGGGGCGGCGGGGCCGGGAGGAGACCCCCGGGGCCCCCCCCCCGCCCCGCTCGGCACCTTGGTCATGATGACGATGGTGAGGTAGTGCAGCACGGCCCCCGTCACCACGGCCGTGGTGTCGGCCTGCTCCCGCAGCAGCCCCAGGCCGCTCTGGGCGAAGAGCGCCGTGGCGATCACGCGGTAGATGACGAGCGCGTGGGCGATGCCGATCAGCACCAGGATCTGCGGGGGAGGGAAGGGCAGAGAAGGGCATGGAAGGGCATGGAAGGGCACGTGTGCCCCCCGTCCCGCCCGAGGGCCACCAGGGATCTGGGTGTGGCCTCGAGGGCAAACCCACGCCCCACAGTTGAGGGCGGGAGGTTTGTGAGGTGGGTGTTGGGGGTAGGGCAAGGGGGGTAATGGGTACAGGCTGAAAGAGGGGAGATTCGGGCTGGATGTCGGGAAGAAATCCTTCCCTGTGGGGGCGGTGAGGCCCTGGAACAGGTTGCCCAGGGAGGTTGTGGATGCTCCAACCCTGGCGGCGTCCAAGACTAGGTTGGATAAGGATTTGAGCAACGTGGTCTGGCGGGAGGTGTCTCTGTGGGACAGGGGGAGTGGGACTGGGTGATCTTTAAGGTCCCTTCCAACCCTTAACATTCTATGGTTCCATGATTCTACATCTCCATCTGAACCAGTCTGGACTCTCCATTGGCCCACAGAGGGGCACGAGGACGTTGAGATTTGCCTCTTCCTGCCCTCTGGGTCACTGCCTTGATCTTTGCTGCCAGAGCAGAACCTTCAGCCCAGGTACCCCCAAAGGGTATGTAGCCCCAGCCATCAGCACAGCAAGGTGTGAACGTGAGGGAGCCCCTGGATCCTTGTAATGGGCACAGACCGGCCCTAAAAAACCTGGTCTCTGCTTTTGCTGCAGCAACAGGATGCTCTGAGGTGCTCCAGAGAAGGGAGGGAAGGAGGGAGCCCACTCTTCCTTAAATCAGACCTTCTTCCCATGGACACCTGTCACGTACCATCAGCAGGACCAAGAGGAGGATGATGGTGCTGCGGAAGTAGGAGTGCTGGTACTTCCGGGGTTCATGCTGTAAATTATTGATCAGTTCCATAGCCAGCTCCTCCTGAAAAAGGAATAAAAAAATAAAAGTAAAAAAAAAACGGAAAAGAAAGGATCCAGTAGAGCGTTGCCCAGGGGTCCTTGTGTCAATGGACAGATGGGATAAGCAGTGCTCGGGAAAGACAGGGATAAGCACCCAACCCCCACAGCAGCATGGCTAAGCCTGACTGAGCTAAAGCTGGGCAAGGAACTCCTTTGATGTGTCTTTTCTATGTCCAGGTGATACCTGAGAAGGAAAGCATAGAGCAAGAAAGATGATGTCCTCACCTCTTCCTCATCCCACCCGTATAGGTTCCAGTTGGTGACCACAGTGGCTCTCTGCCTCTTCCACAGCTCCAGGAACACAGTGGCTGGATTGGGAAGGAGAGAGTGCAGTGACACTCAGGGATGGCTCTGACAGCCATCCCTCTGTCCCACAGAGCAAGACAGAGAGTCATGTCCCATCCAACCCGATGCCAACCAGCCTGGACTGCCCTTGGCCCATGAAGGACAGGTCACCTCTACAGCTCAGTGAGCTGGCAGGACCCTGAGCATGGAGCAGTGAGGGGATGGGGATGGTGCAGGTGAGCTTTCACTGACAGTCAGGCCAACTCTGGTGTCCATAGGGAATTTGGGGTAAGCCAGAGCGAGCCCCAGAGCTGTCCTGCTGCGCTGGGCATGTTCACTGAGACTGATGAAAAATGCACTTTTCAGGTGGAATGGGTGTCCTGCACTGCACCCTGGCACGGCTACACCCCTGCAAATCCACTTCCCTCCTGTTAATCTGGACTGATCCTCCTGATTGGCCCTGTGTAACCCAGCCCATGGCTACACACAGGACCTGTGGGCACCCAGCCCACATCGGAGGTTGTTGGTAACTGAGGGGGCTGTGGCAAAGCCAAATGAGTCTGTAGCTAAGGTGATGATGGGATCCCACCATCCCACAGCAAATAAGAGGCTGTGAAGTGATTTGGAAAGGCTGAGGAGGGCTCTGGAGGTCCCTCCTTCCTGCAGCTGTGGCCACTTAACAGGCAGCTGATAAAAAAGGTCCAGCCAGAGGCTGCTGGGTCTTTGGGGGAGGCTGTGGTGAGTGGAAGATTCAGGTAGGACAGGTAAGGAGTGTTTGGGGAGCTGGAGGATAACACCAGGGTGACTCTGTCTCTTGCTGTGTCTAGAAGGGCTAGAGATAAGGGTTAAAACCCTAGAGATAAGGGCTAAAAATGGTGAAGCTGTGTTGGTGCCCCACTTTCCACCACCTGTTCCCTCTCCCAACCCGTGTGTGCTGGGCACCCAGACACTGGCACCTACCCCAGAGGGCCATGAATATGGCAAAAAGGACCGTGGCCTCGTTGTCAATCATGTGAGTGACCTGGAGGAGATGAAGGAAGAGTGTGATGGGGCAGGGAGGCACAGGAGCTGTGGCACCCTGGGACGTGCTCAGCCACCCTCTTGTCACCCTGGTCTCCCCTGAGACAGGTATAGGTGCTGCAGGAGGGCAAAATGCAGGAAGGCGATGGACACTGGGGCTTGTTACTGGTAAAATCACCCTCGGTGGAGGTGGAAAGTGTGATCTGGGACGGGTTTTCTTTCCAGTGGTGCGGGAGCAGCACAAGCCGGGAGTGTTTTCCCATCCTTCCCCTCGAGGCTGCCTTTGGGAAGGGGGTTCCCTACCTTGGCGTAGGTGCAGGTGTCGGAGAGGACCCAGTAGGGGCACTTCTTGTCACAGAGCGGGCACATGATGGTGGTGTTGGCCTCACAGATCTCCCTGCTGCAGGGAAAGCAGGAGGGAAGCAAAGGGGGATAATGGTGGCTCAGGGCTCCCTGCAGAGCACAGACTCCTCAACGGGATGCGTGTCTGGCATTCCCAAGTGCCTTACCTCACCTGGCTGGAACTGAAGAGAGTAATCCCAGCCACGAAGGTCACCACCCCAGCCAGTGCAGCAAAACCCAGCAGGTAGGTGTACCAGCCCAGCCAGGCGAAGTATAAGGCCACCTTCTCACCAAAATAGCACCTGGGAGGAAAGGTGAGATGGGGTTTGCAGCCAGACAGGAGATCAGGTTGTTGGGGGTCACTAAAAAATGCTCTTCAATGCCCCGAGGGATTTTGGGTCTGGGAGGGGCAGGGGGTCTGAGTGTCTGGGGGCTTTGGGATGGGGAGAGTCAGCCCAGGCGGGCAGAGCAGCTATTTTATGTCTCTGTGGTGTCAAATAGGCCTCATGCTGAGAATGGAGGGAAAGGCTGAGAGACCAGGTTCCAATTTTAGAAAGACAGGGCTTGAAGAGGCTGTGGGGTGCAAGCTTTCTCAGACCAGAGCAAATCCTCCTCCTGGGCTCAGCCACCTCCCTGCAGTGCTTCCATGTCCCATGGCGGCAGCACTTTGGTTTTTATGGTGCTGGAAGTGGGTTGGACGTGTGGGTAAGAAATGATGGTACCTGCTGACTGAGGGACCAGCCTCCCCTCCTGTATTCCAGGGGAATTAACTTCCTACTGGCAGTCAGAGGTGGTGATGTGCTCCCTGCCCTTTGTTTAAACAAAAACCTCAACACCTCCCCATACCACCACCCCCAATTTAATACTCTGCCCTTTAATCCTTGTGTGATAGCAACAAGTCACGACACATTGACCTTAGAAATCAGCTTGTGCACAGTCTCCAGCGCCACTTCTAGACATGTAAAATGTTTAAGGAAGGTGAGAGCACCTCCATTTTAAGATCTCCCCTCCCTACCAGAGCCCCTTGACAGGTTTATGAAGCAATACATTCTTTTTTTCCCTCCTGCCCGTGGAGTTAGTTTTCAAAAATAAGAGCTGTGCTCTTCTCTGGGGTTTAATGTGGTTGTGGGAGCCCCTCATTGTTTTTACTGCCCCGAGGTCAGCCTCAGGCTGGGTTGATGCACCAATGCTCCATTCCCACCTCTCCTGCCTTCTGAATGTGGTTGAAAACCAACCGGGTTAATTAAAACCCGCACAGACGTGGGGGTTGTTTCGTGCTGCAGGATCAGCAGATGGAGCTGGGAGCCGCAGGGATAACCCTCAGGCTAAGAGCTTTGGGAGATTCAGGAGCAGCCCAGTGCTTGTTCAAAGGTATGATTTTAAGGTTCAAAGCGATGATTTCAAAGGAGAGGCAGGAGCCTGGCAAAGGTCATCAAGCTCTCTGGGTCTCAGGTGGGACCTCTTGGTTAAAAAGCTCTGCCCCTTCTGCCCGTGTTACCTGATCTTCTCAATTGGTTGCTGGTTAAATACACCTCTCCAGCGAGCCCAGTTGTCCCTGGAGAATTCCCTTACAGCTTCCTTCTGGAGAGCAGAGAAGTCGGTTGGATACAGGAATACCAGTGCACCCTCAATTCCCTGCCTGGCTCCGAGGCTGCTGCCAGGAGCTTTGCCGTGCCCTTCACCCAGTGAGCTCCTGGGGCAGCCCCGCTTACCCACAGGTCTCTCCCACCCTGCCTTGCTCCTCCACCTGTCCTGGATTTTCCTCCCAGGCCCCTGTGTGCTCAGCCTCACCTCATGCAGGGGAAACGCTGCCTCAAACACGTTTTTCTTCATCAGGCCGTGCAGCTTCTCTGGGAGCAGAGCAGAAAGGGAGAGGGTTGGGGATCTGGGGAGAGGGAGCAGAGGAACTGCTGCTTCCCGCGGTCCAAATCTCCCAGCCTCTGGATGTGGCAGCAAATTGAGTTGTCTGAGCTGCACCCTGGCTTTCTCCCCCTGTTTACATCCTCCCTGGGATGGCCTGTGCCCACCATAGGGCAGGAGTCTTCCTGCAGATCCAGGCTGAGCACCACCCCTGTGACCCCCGTTCCCTTACCCAAGTCAGGTGTCACCGTGTTCCGCAGGATTAAGTGCACGATCCTTATCCTGAACAAGGAGAAATCGTGGTTAAAGGCTGCTCTGGGATGCAGAATTGTGTTGTGTGGCCCAGGAAAAGCAGGGCAGGGAAGGGAGAAGGTGTGCACCAAAATCCGTGGAGGGAAGACGGGGAGAGCCGAGCTGGATAATGGATGCTGGTGTAGGGAACGGTGAGTGCAGGATGCTGGAAGTCAGCTCAGCACCCACCTGGTGGTCATTGGGATGTCCTGGGGGGAATTTTCATTTTGGAGCTTCTTGTCGGGGTTCCCCAGAAGACACTGGTACTTCCGGAAGACCTGCTCTGGGGCACGGACTCCATAAAATAGCTTCGTGTCCTCAATTTTCTGGTGGGCGGAAGAGAGGGGCTGTTAGAACAGAGCAGAGGGGCAGGGAAGGGGCGGAGCTGGAAGGGCCAGGGGCTGTGCCAGGGTCTGTGGTCTCTCTCCTCTGATTGAGCAAGAGGTTTATTTTCCAGCACTGATGTGGTGATCACCTCAGTGGTTCATTTCCTGGGATGCAGGTACCCGAGCCAGGTCAAGTTTCTGTTGCCTTTTCCTCCCACAGCCCCTCACCTTGATGGTGAACCCCTTCTTGCTCAGCTCATCCAGGAACTTCTTCCTCTTGGTCTCCTTCTCACTGCCCACTTCATGGATGTCGCTCACCAGAACGAAATCCCACTTCTCTTCACTCTACCCACAAAAACACCAAGGAATTATTAGGGATGGAAAGCTGAGAGCTCTCCCTCCCAGCTCCAGCCTCTGAGAGGTTTGGACCTTCATTGTGGCTGTGTAGAGGGGAACTGGGAATGAGCAAGGGAATGGGGAAACTGAGGCAGCTGCTTCCCTGGCAGTGCCCCACTCCCCTCTCTGAGCTGAGCTGAACTTGCTGTGGGTGCAGAGGGAGCAGAGCTTACCGGGGGGGTGAAGGGGTCTGTGTCCTCCACAGGATAATCCCTCCAGGGAGTCAACAGAATTTCATCATGCTGAAAAGAAAACCAGGGCTTCAGTGGGCTCCCTGGGACATCAGAAGGCTTCAGTGGGCTCCCTGGGACATCCTGTGTTTTCCTCTCCCAGCAGCCTCGAGGGGATGCCCAGGGAGGAAGGTGAGAACAGTCTTGTCCAAAACCTTCTCCTACCCACTCCTGGTCGCCTGTTTGGGGCTCTCCTGAGCCAGCTGGGGATTTGTGTTCGAGGATGATGGAGGGACCGCTGCCCTGTGAGGGTGTGCAGCCTCCTCTAGAACTCATGATACCCAGCGGTGCCCCGGGGCTGTGAGGGAACTGGCCAGGAGAAAAAAAACCTCAGTCTGCTCCGGACTTTGCTCCTTCTTGTTTCACCTGATGCCCTGACATTTGTACTGGAAGAGTGTCAACACTTCACCCTGTCTCTCCATGCTACAGTGGATTTTACGGGCTCTAATCAGGCTTTTCCATTCGTCTGTCATTCCTGTCAGATAGGGCACTGCTGGCTTTTTGGGGAGGGTGGGGAAGGTACTTTTAAATTCCAGTGAAGGGAGAGCGAGGCACAGACAGGCTGGCACAGCCTTGCAGCAGAGCAGGGGGAAAAAAAATCCTTGGAAAACATGTTGGATGCCTCAGTCTGCAGCACACTATCAAGGAATATCCTCAGTTGTAAGGGACCCACAAGGATCATCGAATCCAGCTCCTGGCACTGCACAGGACCACCGCAAAAGTCCACGTGCTTGAGAGCATTGTCCAAATGCTGCTGGAACTCTGGCTTTTCCCTGTTCACCTCCTGTGTGTCCCTGCTCTGGAGAGAACGGCTGTGCAGGGGCCAAGGCAGCTCCCACCTTCCTGTTTACAGGGAATTACGCTTGGATACCCAAGGGTGCAGCTCTGGGCGAGCACAAAGCAGGTAATCCTGGAATGGATTTTGTTGGAAGAGACCTTAAAGCCCATCCAGTCCCACCCCCTGCCATGGGCAGGGACACCTTCCACTAGCTCAGGTTGCTCCAAGCCACATCCAGCCTGGCCTTGGACACTTCCAGGGATGGGGCAGCCACAGCTTCCCTGGGCAACCTGCGCCAGTACCTCGGCACCCTCACAGGGAAGGATTCCTTCCCAATATCCATCTAGCCCTGCCCCCCTTCAGCTTAAGCCATAAGGTGGCCCTGTGGGTTTCTTTGCTGAGCTTTGCTGGGACTCGTGGTGTGTCCCCACAAACAGCAGCACAGAGGGCTGGTGATACAGTGCAGCAGCGGGAAGGAGCTGCCAGGGATGGGGGTATTGTCACCCGGGGTCACCAGAGACACTGTGACCTGAAAGACAGCCCAGCCAGACGGGTTCCTCCAGCTGTAATCTTGGGAGCAGAGCCGTGGTGGTGGTGAAATGCTGCCCTGATGTAAGATCTGGATCCCAAGCTTTCACTGGAGAATGAGGCCATGGATGCAGGAGAGGCCAGGATGAGGAAAGGGCTGAAATGTTCCACCAGATCCTCGCTCACATGGATCAGCCACAGCACAGGAGCTATGAGGAGACTGACAGCCAGGAAGCCAAAGTGGGAATGCTCAAGAAGAGGAATGTTCTCACCCAGAGGTGCTGTTGTAACAAGAGCCAGAACTTCTCTTGGATAAAAGGTACTCAATTTAGGGCAAGAGGCAGGGGGGGGGGTTATGGTGTTGTCACCTGCTCTGCCAGAGCTCTAACCAGGTCGGGGGGGCAGGACTGGGTGTGGCAGTTCTCCCTGTCCCTGGCTGAGCTCTGCTCATCTGGGCACAGAGGATTGGGAGTGGGAGCCTCACTGGGCTCTGCCCTATTGCCAACGCTCTGGTGCTGGCACAGATCTGGCCTGGCACAGCTCTCCCCTGTCGTGTGGGCTCATGCCTGCCTGGCTGGTTTCTCACAGCCTCCATGTGCACCAGCCTGGTCCTGCAGAGATTCCCTGCCAGCACCACCTGTGATCATGGGGCTGTGGAGGGGAAGCCACCTGTTGGGGACAGGGCGGTCTTGGGGTGTTCCTAAATGCCACCTCCTGTTGTCCTGCTGCTGCTGACCCCAGTCAGAATCTTTTCTTAATATCTCGTCTGACCCTACTTTCTGTCGGTTTGAAGCCATGCCCCCTTGTCCTGTCACTCCAGTTCCTGATGGGAAGGCAGAGATGTGTAGGCAGGGACAGCTGCAGAGGGCAGGGACTTCGGATCACTGTTATTCTCCCACACCTACTTTTTTTGTCCCAGGGATTAGGGAGTCGGATCACGAGCAGGTGAGGCCACCTGGGCTCTGCAGTGGTTGTATGAACCCTGGACTCTATCCCTGCTCTCAGGAAGGACAGTTTCAATTTCACTCCCTCCTGCCCTGTGGTCAGAGCGGGATTTGGAAGCGCCACTGTGCAAAGGTGTAGGAGAAGTGACTGGTACAATGGGAAGCAGGAATTTCAATGTTAAAAAGGGTTTCCGTGCCCTGAGGTGCCTCCAAGTATATCAGTGGTCCTTGTCCCCTTTCACAGGCCAGGTAACCCACTGCCCTGAGCATTCCTTCAGGGAAATGGCCACAGGCACCCCTGGGATGGGGGTGGGGTCACCTGTGTGAGTAACTCAGGCCAAGGACCTGGATAGGATCCGGCATCCTTGTGTTCCTTTCCAGTCATGGATTGGTGAGGGTTTGGGCTGTTCCCATCACCCACACCGAGATGATCAAATTGCTCTTCTCTCCGGGATGTTTCTCACGCAGCTTCCCTTGGAGCACTTCCATGTTACCTAATGGCTTCCTGAGAGAAGTGGGACAGCCTTCAGCTGGAGAGGCAGACGGCACACCTGGACCTTTACCACCTGCCCTGATCTTGGAGAATTTGCCTGGCTTTTTCAAGGGAAGGAAACCGCATCTTTCCTTCCAATCTAGAGAAGAAAAATGGCACCGCTGCCCCTGTACTGCTTTTTGGAATACCCCAAAGGCCGGAAGCAGATGAGCGGTAGAGATCAGAGCTTAGTTCATCCCGTGTTTCCAAGACACAGGTGCTTAGAGGTGCTGAAAAGCAACACCCTGGAAGTATTGGAGCAGTTTCTGTTCCTACCTGCATGGTGAAGCGGAGAGCCTTCCTCTGTCCTGGTGCTCCTCGGGGCAGATCCGCAGGCAAGATGGGCTGGAGGCTCCTGGGCTTCCTTGTCGCGTGGTTTCCGTCCCCAGCTCCTTTGCCCGAGGACTCATGTGCAGCGGCCTCGACTTCCGTGTGGGACTCCCGCCTGCCTCGGGAGGGAGCTGATATCGGGAGGAGGTGAGGAAGCTGCCCTTCACCCTCGCTCAGAGGAGTGGCAAGCCCAGAACCGCCCAGCACCAGGGCAGGTAAATGTGCCGGGATCCTCCTGCGGCCCCAGGGCTCTGCCACCCTCCTCTGCCCCTCTCCGTGCCAGTGCCATATCCTGCAACATCCCCAAAGAGGTGCCACAAAGGGGCCAAAAGGAGGAAGCACCTATCAGCAGAAGCTCTAGAAAGCTCTAGAAATCTCTTCACGCCTCACTGGCTGGTAAAGCAGCTCTGGAAGTTGTGTGCTGTTTCCCCCCCCATGTGTAACAGTGCTGTCAACCTGGCTTTGGACACTTCCAGGGATGGGGCAGCCACAGCTTCCCTGGGCAACCTGTGCCAGGGCCTCGCCACCCTCCCAGGGAAGGATTTCTTCCCAATATCTAATCTAAACTTGCCATTCCTTCCCAGTATCTAATCTAAACTTGCCATTCCCTCTTGTCCTGTCACTCCAGGTCCTTGTCCAAAGCCACTCTCCAGCCTCACTGTGGGATCCCTTCAGGTGCTGGAAAGCCACAATTAGGTCACCTCAAAGCCTTGTCTTTTCTAGGCTGAACCATCCCAGTTCTCCCAGCCTTTCCTCATAGCAGAGGTGCTCCAACCCTCTGATCAGCTTGGTGTCCTTCCTCTAGACTCACTCCGACGGGTCCATGTCCCTCCTGTGCTGGTGCCCCCAGAGCTGGATGCAGTGATCCAGTTGGGATCTCACATGAGCAGAGCAGAGAGGCAAAATCACCTCCCATCTGGAGCTGTGGCTTGGAGCAGGCAATAAATTCTTGCAAAAGGTGAGTGAAAAGGTGGTTATGTGTAAGCCAGGTCTCACAGTGCTCCTTATATCGGCTTTCTGGGGGGTTTGTTACTTTAATTTCCAAACAAAAAGAGCTACCTTTCCTGGGAATAGCAGGAAGATCAGTAACTGCTCTGGATTCCCTTGTGCACTCCAACAGCATTGCTGTGAGTTATTCTAAAATAAGTCCTGGGGGGGGGTAATCCAGCTGTGTCCTGGCAGGAAAGCCAGCCAGCATGTCCAGAGTGGTGTTCCCAGTCAAGCCACCACCACCCTGTGGCTTTGCCAAGTGCCTTGAACAGAGCCCAAACTAGACCTATGGGTTATTAAACAGGGGGAAAAAAAAGAGTTGTCTTCCAAATGTCCTACTGTGTGTGAAACCAAGCGCAGAGGGAAGGCAGGGGCAGACCTTTACCCTCCCAGGAGTGATCCACAGGGATAGCCTGGAGCGGAGAACAGTCTGTATGGGCAGCAGCTCTCCCTGGGTGTGGGAGCGTGTGTGTGTTTACCTGCAGAGAGCGAAGCCCTGTCAGGCAGCGCTTTCCACCTGCCAGCAGAGCAAAGACCTTTGCAGTGTGAGCGCGGCTGGTTCCAGGGAAACGAGATTACCTGTGGGTGGAACAGCCGCGTCGCTCCACCCACACTCCGGCTCCTTTCTCCTGGGCAGGGGTGGGAGGACTTTGCTCTCCAGAGTGTGGGCATCCAGGAGCAGTCCTGAAAGCCTGTGGGCGTTACCAGCCGGTGGGGAAGGCGAGTGTGTGCCCGCAGGTTGGCTTTGGGCGAGGTATCCATCCCCTGCAGCATCTCACGGCGCTCAGAGGAGACTGCGCTGCTGCTGCTCCTGTATAGGAGGAATTCGGCTTTGCCTGGGCAAGATTTAGCTGCTTTTGCAGCAAGGCAGGTGACCAGGTCGATGCTGTCCCTCTTTCAGTACTTCCCTCCCCTCGTGCCATGCACCACCTCGCATTTACTGCTCTGTGGTGCTGCCCGGGGCCGAGGACGGCGGCATGAAAAGCTGGAATCGGGGAGGGAGATGATGCACCCACCAGGCTCTGGTGAAAAATCCTCTTGACGTGAGGTGCTGTGGAGCTCCGGCTCGAACCTGTGCCAAGGTATTGCAGCCACACAAACCCTGTGTGAGCAGGGAGAATTATTTAAGGTCTGATCAGCTCCGTGGCTGCTGGGGCTGGTCACACACCCGAACCCACCGATGGACTCCGGCCGCCTGGGGCGGCGGTTTGACCCACGCTGAGCGTGTTGGCTCTGCAGCTCCAGCAGCACTCCCTGACCTGTTAGTCCTGGCTGGATGTGGAGAGGGTAACTCCCACCCGAGGAGGGGTAACAGACCACTGAGGCTTTTTGTGTGTGAAACCATTCCAGCCACATAGAGGCTACCTGGCCACCTCACCTGGCAGTGATGCTTTCTGAGTGTGCAAAGGAACACCTCCCTAATTCAGGATGGTGCTGAAAGATTTATTTACTCTTTTTAGTTCCCTGCATTTTTAATATTTTTTTTTTTCCACCCAGCCTAAAAAGGGAATTGCTTTCCTTTGTACC